AGACGTTACTTCATGCGTAGAATACAGGCAAAAAAGAGCAAACAAGGTGCTTCTGGAGTTCTACCTCTGCACTTCAGCTGAGGAGGGGGGAAAATATACAGGAATCTAATGCTTAATGTTATGCTATTAATTTAAGAAAGCATATTAGTAACTATTAAAATAAAATATAAACAAACTTTGTAAATTGAAGATCTTTCATTATAAAAATGTCAGTGATTCTTCCTTCCTGAAATTATTAACAACTGTCCTCAATCAGTAAGAGAGAAACAAAACTATTTTTTAAATCTGTCCCATCGTTGCTTAAATCCTACCGACATCTATCACCATAAGCAATCCTAACCTGTGCAGATCTCTCCATACACTGGTGATCTTACAGCCTACTATTTTAAATCATTAATTTTTATTTCATGAGACGTTACTTCATGCGTAGAATACAGGCAAAAAAGAGCAAACAAGGTGCTTCTGGAGTTCTACCTCTGCACTTCAGCTGAGGAGGGGGGAAAATATACAGGAATCTAATGCTTAATGTTATGCTATTAATTTAAGAAAGCATATCAGTAACTATTAAAATAAAATATAAACAAAGTTTGTAAATTGAAGATCTTTCATTATTAAAAATGTCCATATTAAAAGAAATTAAAGAGACTTTTTAAAATACAGATGGAGTCATCACTATTTGTTCATTAGTAATTTTCTGTGGCTTCCTCAAAAACAAAACCAAAACCCAAAAAGAAACTCAGCGAAGTTGGTTTCACTTTCATGACAGTGCTAACTCATCTGTATCACAAATTCCTGAAAACGAAGATTTTTTTTTTAAAACTATCTCATACAGTATTATAATTCAAAAATACTCTATTTTAAACAGTCTTGGGATTTATAAAAGCATGTTTTAGATATCTCAAGTGATACTGTAAATTTGACTTAATAATACTCTTTTAACCATTTTTCCTGTTAAAGGCTTACAAGATGTCATTAATACATTTCACAACCTAAATGAATAATGTGGAGCTACAGAGCTCCCTGTACATCTCAGCACAGGCACGGGGATCCACCTGCATCGATGTACTAAAGGACTGGTAACCTCATATTTTTCTTAACACTCATAAAATTAATAAAGGAACACTAGGCCCAACTGTACCAAATCAAGCTGACATGGTTAAAAAGATTCTGCACTATGTCACCGAGAGTCCAACTTCATGATAAAATTAGTGAAACCTGCCAGCTGCCACCAGAAGGCATGGTGACGCTCCACCTTGAAGAAATATGTTCACTATACAGGACACAAAGGATGGGGTGGGAACCACTCAGGTGACGGACCACCTGTTTCAGTCCACTGCACAGTTAGGTTGGGTTAGTTCAATTTGAACTGCACCCCAAACCAACTCTTCTGATGCACCTCTTTCTTTTTCTGCCTGACGCACCACAGCAATTCTGCAGCCACAGCCTTTTAGGCAACAATTAGTGTCCTGTACAAAAAATCCATGAGTAAATCAAGACCTTAGAATCAGAATCATAGATCCATGAGTAAATCAAGACCTTAGAATCATAGAATCATTAAGGTTGGAAAAGACCTCTAAGATCATGGAGTCCAACCGTTGACCCAACACCACCATGTCCACTAAACCATGTCCCTAAGCACCTCATCTACACGTCTTTTAAATACTTCCAGGGATGGGGACTCCACCACTTCCCTGGGCAGCCTGTTCCAATGTTTCACCACTCTTTCAGTAAAGAAATTTTTCCTCATGTCCAATCTAAACCTCCCCTGGCACAACTTGAGGCCATTTCCTCTCATCCTATCACTAGTTACTTGGGATTTAGCTAACCTTCCCGCATTGAACTCCAGTAACAGTATTCATTTTTGGAGGCTGTTTTAGTTCAGAAGTAAAAAAATACGTTTTGCCAGTTACAATTAAAACTAAATCTGAAAATATCTTTTGAAGAACCTCATAAAGCAGGGAATCGTGTTTTAAAGGTGACAATAAGAAACCCCAAAAATTTAAAAAAAACCCCCAACTTATCACATTGTAAATAAAACACAGTATCTATACACTCAAACACATATGCAACTAATGCAAATAGTCCAAATCAATCAGCAGATTTTTGAAATTAGATATGGATGGAAAAGTCCAAACACTGACAATACCATCTATATTTTTACACTTATGTACAAAGCAGTGTTAAAATGTTACAGTAATATTCTGAAAGGACCAGTCACAGGGATAGTCATTTTGAGAACATTAATTTTGCAACCCAGGATTTTAACAAAAATAGGTGATACTTAAAGACTACCTACAAAAGGTTTGATTGAAGTACCTCTCTACATCATCCGCAATTCAGACCATCATAACACACATGAATATAAGATGCAAACTGTGTAAAAACAAACCTGAAGCTCTCTGCTTTTATAATTCAAAAATGCCATAAAAGTTAGTGGTGAGAAAGCACACTAGATTCAGTACCTTTCTAACTGCCATAATGCCACAAGTCCCCAACTATATTTCTACCACTGTGCCTACATTGGCAAGGCCCCTCGTGAGGCCCAAGGAAACACTACAGACACACATGGCAATGTCAGACAGGGTAACAACACATGTGACCCATGACCAACACGGTTACTGTTTGCAGCTGCAGTTCACGTTAGTAAAGCAACTCTCTTAATAGTCAGGTTTGTTGATGGTTTATTTTGGTGTAGTTGTATCCACATCAGGAAGACTGCTAGCATCTTCAGCACTGACCATCTCCGCAAACTGGAGTCCCTGCTTTCATACTGGGAGGGTTTTGATAATGTAGTTAGTTATACAGGTGCAACAACATTTGGGAAACTTCCCCAAATTGGGTAGAGAGTTATTCTTAGCATTAAGCAGCCTGCATACAGATTCTACCAGTATTTCTGAGTTGTGCTTTATTCCAGAAGGAATCAAAATAGGCAGTTCTAAGCATCCAGCTAACTAACAGAGCATCGCAGAGGTGCAGGGTTGGAACTATACACTGTATCTTTCTAAAATTATGCACATTTGGGAAGGCAAGGGGGTTTGTCAAAGAACAATTTCATTTTTTTTTTCCCCACGTGCACAAAAAGCTGAAAGGAAACATTTTACAATTCAGCCTTCTGTAAAGCGAAGGCTATAGGTATGAGAAACATGATCACAAGGAGCCTGTGACATGAGACAATGAAAAGCTCGTGGAACCCATGTAAACACTTGCCACACCAGTCTCTGCTGTAGTATGTTTACATAAAAGTTCAGGTAAAGTGTATTTTTAAAAGTAAGTCTTAGTACTGTTTAAATAAATTCACTAGTACTGTACATAGTTTCTGAAAACAAGCAGCTATTTCAAGGGCATTCTACAATGTCCATATAACCATGATGCGCAAAGCTGCGACTAACTGATTTGCATTGATGCAGCACAAGCACTTCAGTGTACCAATGTAAAATCATTAAATCTGTGGACCAGTCAGTATCAATCCGATCGTGAAATACAATCTTTGTGTTGGACAGAGTGAAGGTTATGCATCAATTTCAGTTTCCACTTCCTTTACCTTTTAATATTTGCCGTTAGAAATTTATACCTGTATAACATTAATAAATTTGTCCCATACAATTAAAATAGATAGAATTCTGCTGAATTTTCGTAAAGAAATCAGTACATGTAAAAGAAGATATTATGACAATTGTTTACTTCTGTAGAAGGAAACATGTTCTGCAAGTAACACTATTAGCAAGTCAGTGCCAAAAGTTGCAAAGTACCTAAAGTGTACAGCTTATGACCAGAGCATGCTCTGTCAATTCCTAGTTCAACTGGGGAACACTTACTGTATTTTTCACTCATGTAATGCCATTGTTTGTAGTCTAATGGACAGAAACGTCTTATGATAAACAGAAGGCGATTCAGATGAAAAGCTGCACAATTTAAATGCAGTTCTGTTACACATTCTCTTTAATAAATTATGTAAGGGAATACACCAAAATGCAAACTACACTGTGATTTTAGTATCACATAGTGCAGTACTTTAGCTCAGTTTCCTAACTGTACTGCCAAGCCTTAAAAGTTTCAGAGAACCAACTTGCTTACAGGGCACAATAATAAAACTTAAGACTTATTTTTGCCCCCATTAAGATTCAAAAATACTAATGAAAACATTCAATAGCTTCCCACACAATCACGTCCAATGATAACATGAGGAATCAGTATTTCAGCAGTGAATTAAAGTGACGCTTACAGAACAGGCCGCTTCTAAAAACACTTTGTCCTTTCTCTTGTTCTTCGGTATGCCCTTCAGTGCTTGACTAAACATTTGAGTACCCTGTCCAAGATCTAAATAAACCGTTTCGCTTCTTTTCCATCAATAAATATAAGGAAATTAAATAGTTTGGTACAGCAGACAATTAACTGCTACTCACCCTGCACACGACAAATTGACTGAACGTAAACTTGACAGAGAAAAGCTAAACCTGTGAGCCGGCAACCCTCACTCACGTGGATGAAGCCTCCCCCAGCAATGTGCATCGATCTCGAGTTGTGTAAGGCTGTCTGTTCCCCCCCATCCCTCCAGCGAGGGGGGCCCACTCAAGACTTTGCCCTTGAAGAGAAATGACAAGAGGTCTCCGAGCCCTTCCCTCCTTCACCCCGGGAGCCCTAGAGACGAACAGCTCAGGAGGTGCTACCAGCCACAACAAACCGGATTGCTTGCAGGGGGGAAGAGCTAAGGAGACATTTCCTCGCTTCCCACAATTCTTACTAGACTACAAGCCTGGGAGGGTGTGTGTGGCCTGATTTAAAAAAAAAAAAAAATACACCACAGAGCCAAGGAGATCAGAGATAAACACATCATCAGGAGGGGAGGATTTTTTCCCCTCTATTAAACCTTAGTCATAGCTGCTCCCATTTTTGAAGGCCCAACGGTTAAAATAACGATAATACAAGGCGGCAAGGCAGATGGGGGACGAGGGAAACCGACACAGACACAAACGCGGAGACAGACAGGCGCTGTTTCTTACCTTCCTACTCGCTCCTCCGAGAGACACCTTGGGCCTTGTTTTGAAATCCCCTTCAAAGCTAAACATCTTTACGGCTTATCCCATCTAGAGCGGGGTCCGGCCCCCCGAGCTGACCCCGCAAAGGGGGCGCCGGCCGGC